AAATATGGAACTGCCATTTGACCCAGTGATCCTACTTCTAAGAATATATCATAAGAATTCTGAAGCACCAATCAAAAAGAATGTATGCGCCCTATGTTCATAGCAGGCAATTTACAATAGTTAAGATCCTGAAACAGTCCAAGTGCCCATCAGTAGATGAGTGGATGAAAAAGCTGTGCTACATTTATACCATGGAATACCATGCAGCAGGAAAAACAAAGAATCTCTTACCCTTTGAGACAGCATGGAGGGACCTGGAGAGTATCATGATAAGTGAAATAAGTCAGAGAAATACAAGTATCACATGATCTCACTCATATGTGGAATCTAACAATAAACTGATGAACGGAGTGGATCTGAGACATGGAAGCCTGGAACAGAGTGTGGAATCTTGGAGGGAAGGTTGGGGAGTGTGGGTGGGATCTTGTATGCATATATGCATAACCCGTTGACACAAACAATAGGGTGCTGAAAGCCTGAGGTGGAGGTGTGGGGTCGGCTGAAGGGAGTCAATGGGGGGAAAGGGAGGACATACGTAATATTTTCAACAATAAAAAATATTTTTAAAAGTAAAAGATGAAAAAATATATAAAAAATAAAAAGTAAAAGTAAAAGAGTTACTTGTACAAAGATCAGCTAGGTCTGAAAGGGCAGAGGTGGGCCTGGCACTGGGAGCAGGAAGGTTCCCCTGAGGCTTGCGGGATTGGGGGATGTGAAGTCCCAGGAAGGGGAGGTTTCGAAGGAGTGGGGATTTCCCTGGTGAGCAGGTCTCAGAGGTGCCCCTGAAGGGCCTAGCAGGCAAAGCTGATGAAACTGTTGCTCAAAACTTAGAGAAAGGGGAGAGGTTGTCCTCAGAGCAGTGTGCCACCAGGCAGTGTCGCCCACCTTCCTGTGTCCCCTGTACTTTGTGCTTCCTAGGGAAGCAGTGTGGTAAACCTTGGAGTCAGACCAACTAGTAATCACTCTTCTGAGTCTCACTTTCCTCATTTACAAATGGAGGCTACAATACCATCTACCTTGGGTTGTTGTGAGGATTAGGAATAATGTAAAGCTCCTAATATATAGTGGGCGCTCACTAGATGACCACTGGTATGTACCTGCATGACTACTATTTTTATTTGTGCTACCACCAAGAATAGGCTGGCCCAAGTCATTGCTGAGCTGTACTCCGAGAGATGTTCATTTCCAGCTGGGACAAGACACTGAATTCTAAGACTGTTCACCACCCTTTCACATACATTTGTCAAAGGTGTCTTGGCAGGCAGATATGTAAAAACTGGTTCCTGGTTCCCACTGCACATAACAATTCTCTTTGTTGCTCATCTCAGCACACAAAGAAAAGTATTTCACAAACCTTATGCTGGTGGTGATATATAGAAGATAGATTGAGAAATCATTAGAGGGGTAGGGATTAAAATAAAGTTGTGAAACACTGATGAAGAAAAAAATGCATCTGCTCTCTGTCCCCCTAACCTACCAACAGCCTGCTACTCTCACTCCTTGTTCCTGTGCCCCGTTTTAGAGCCGTTCAAAATGCTTCCACGTATGGATTTCATTTGCTCCTCACTCTAGCCTGTGAAGTAAGTAGGGCATTCGTTGCCTGCAACAGAGGAGCTAAGGTAATGACAGAATTGGGATCTGGAGCCAGGTCTCCTTGTTACAGAACATGAGTGAATTGTGCCAGGTTAAGCTGTACCTTGGATGAATGGGTTCAAAGCAACTTGTGGGGAAATGATGTTTTGCAAGGAGACAGTGATAACAACAGCACCTTGCTGCAGAGTGTCCAACAGAGATGGTGGCAATGCCTCTGTTGTATTGATGAGCAAACTAGAGGCCCAGGGGAAACAGAGGACAACTTTGGAGTTCAGATGACACAGAAAGGTGGATTTATTTCAAACGTTTCACTTTTTCAAGTTGTTTTAAATGACAGAAGTGATGCAGGTTACTTGGATGCTCCAGGGTCACCCAGCTAGGGCGTGGCAGAGCCCCCAGGATTGAGATTCTAACTCAGGGCTCTTAACTGCCCTTCTGGGGCTTGGAATCAGCTCCTTCAGTCCCGCAGCTTTTCTCACAGGGGTGTTAAGAGGAACAAGAGTGGGAAGGATAAATCACTGCATAATAGCATTAAAAGAAATAGTGCTCCAAGTTCACCTTTCGTAATCAAATGGGCCTCCAGGTGAAAACTACTGAGAGCAAATGTGGCTACAGTGGTAGCGGTTCTCAACCTGTGGGTCGCGACCCCTTTGGCGGTCGAACCACCCTTTCACAGGGGTCGCCTAAGACCATCCTGCATATCAGATATTTACATTACGATTCATAACAGTAGCAACATTACAGTTATGAAGTAGCAACGAAAATAATTTTATGGTTGGGTCACAACATGAGGAACTGTATTTAAAGGGTAAGAAGGTTGAGAACCACTGGGATACACTGTCTACTTACTAGCTGTGTGACTGAAGTAAGTTACCCACTTCACTTCCCAGAGCCAGTTTTCTTCTCTGTAAGGTGAAGATATCAATTCCTGCCTGACAGATTGTGGAAATGAAATAAGCAGTATATGTGAAAGCATTTTGTAAACTATGGAGTACTATTATCTAGTTGAAAGCTTTGTATCCTCACTTCTCAGAGTCCCCCCAAACCCAGCTCACTCTAGGACCCTGAAAGGCCTGGCTCTGGTGGGAGTAGAGAAGGTGGTTCTATTTTGGTCTCTCCAGCCTGAAGACCAGAGAGGAAAATGGAGGAAGATAGGGTTGCTCACAGCCTGTCTTCTTATCCCCCAGCTGAGGGGGAAATGGCAGGGGAGCTGGCATAACTTCTTCTTTGGTGAGTCAGCTAAGAAAGAATTTCTAGAGCTCCAATTATGTATAAGAGTTGGTTTAGGTTTGGATTTTTAAAGCTGCTTCCTCTTTTAAAGCAGCTTTAAGACATAACTAAAAGCACAAGTAATTGGCACACATGGCAAATGATAGAAGCACAGCTTCTTACTAGTGTGAACTTGAGAAAATCACTCAGCTTCTCTGGGCCGATTTTCTCATCTGTAAAATGGGGACAATGCAGGGTCATTGTGAGTATTAATAGTATGTGAGAGTGCTGGGTCCAGTGTCTGGCACACAACCGAGGCCCAATACCTGTCCATTTGCTTTCCCTTTCTAGTGGACAGACTGTAGTCATTGAGCTCAGAGGAACAGAAAGCACTGACTCTTCAGTTGCTTGATTCTATTATAGTGGCTGCCATTACTCATTTAATTCTCACAACCCCATGAGACAGCTCATCTACAGACATCGAGGAAGCAGGAGAGGTTCAGAGAAGTTTTATTGCCCAAGATCACACACCTTGCAATTTTTTAAATTGACTTTTAGAGAGAGAGAAACTGATTTATTGTTCCACTTATTTATGCATTCATTGGTCGATTCTTATATGTACCCTGACTGGGAACCAAACCCGCAACCTTGGCGTATTGGGCTGAAGCTCTAACCAAGTGAACTACCTAGCCAGGGCCAGCTTGCAATTTTAAATCCTCACCCGAGGATATTTTTTTCATTGATTTTTAGAGAGAAGGAAAGACAGAGAAAAATATCTATGTGAAACATATCTATTAGTTGCCTCCTGCATTAGGAGCCTGCAACCCAGGTACATGCCCTTGACCAGAATTGAACCTGGGACCCTTCAGTAGCAGGCAAAAGCTCTATCCACTGAGCAAACTAGCTAGGGCCAGCTTCCAATTTTTAGTCAGGATTCACACCCACCATGTCTAGTTTGCTTTTTAGATAATCAAAATGTATGAGGGGGTTTAATCAAGCTGGATCTTCTGGAAGGCTCATCTTTAAATAGACTTGGACCAACAGGGTAACCCCAAACTGGCCCATTTTGAGAATAAACTCAAGGTGAAGCTTCAAGGACAGGAAACAGGCCATTGCCAGAGGCAGCCTGGCAATAATTGAAAGAGCTAAAAACCAAATGGTCGCTTCCCAAATCCTTGGGGAGTTTAATCTGTGCCCTATCAGTTTCAGGAGCTTGTGTTGTGAGGGTGAGATTAGTCCTTTATTAAGCAGTATACAAATATATAATTGGTAGTCTTCTGTCATCTCCCACTAAACACAAACTCCTACTCATCGCCTGACAGCCCTCCACTTTCCTCCCTAAAAATAAGAGGGAACCGAGTCTCCTTTTCAAACCCCTCTCCTAAGCTAGATTGCAGAAGCGAGAATAGGAAGGCTGAGTCATCGTCCTCTTAGAAAATCTAAGAGTACCAAAGGCACTAGAACAAAGTATGATTTTTTAATACATATCTTTATTTCAACACATGGCTGCTTTTTAAAGCTATCAACCCAAGAGCTGAGGACATGTCTTCTTTCTACTGCATAAAGTAGGTACCTCTCAGTGTCATCTGTCCCAGCGGTCGCCAACCTTTCTGATCTGTCCCACACCCCTCCTTCACACTCAGTCATTGGCACCTTACTCATCGGCAAAATGACTGCCTTGGCACATGTATCACTTAAGACTGTGCCAGGTATTGCACAGCACAGGTTAAGAAGGGCAAAAATGCTCCATTGCAGCCCATTTAAGAGCTATGTTATAGCTTGAGGTGCTCTTCTCCCTAAGGGTTATGGCAAATAGTTCCATGAGGGTAAAGATCCCAGCCTCCAATGCATACACAAGGATGGCTCTCATAACACCTGATCTGTTTCTCTCATTTCTCCTGGCCAAGGCAAGGAAGACCAGTTAGACAGGATTGTTATGATCCATTCATTTACAGCTGTAATTCCTGAAAAAAGAGTTGTGTGGCAGAGCAAGTCCAGGGTTTTGTGCTCACCTCTTGTAGAGCGGTATTAGGTCGTTTCACAGTGCTGGGGTAGAAGAGTGAAAGCTCCAGCTCCTCTGCAGTTGAGGCTGGGAAACTCACTGCCCAGATCAAAGGCAACAACCAAGATCTCTCCATAAGCCCACACCTGACCCCCTTCCTCCCCACAAGCACACACAAAACCGGCTGATACTGGTATTTCTGTATAGATGTAATAGAGAGGACTTTATTTTTAAGGAAAATTCATTCAGCCATTGATTATAGAGCCATTTCTTAGTAATATTTTTCTTCCCACCCAGGAATCTGAAATACAACATGATTAGGTTAATGCCAAAACAAGAATTACTGGTTCATCACCTAGGGAATTAAACACACTTAATTGCTTGACACTTTATTGAACGCAAAGCAAGATTAAATGTCTTTGCCTTCTTGGTAGAGCTGAAAGGAGCCCAGGGAAGGGAAGACTGCACAGCTTTCCTTTGTGGGGAAGATGTGCGCCCCCTGTAGTCCCATCTTGTTGTGGGAAGGCTAACCCATGTTCTTTCGGTTGCCATAGCCCCTAGGATGGGTGTCCTTCCAGTCATCCCACTCCCGAGCTCGGTGAAGTGTTTGCTCATCATCCTCTTCCTCCCTTTGTTCTTGATCTTCTTGTTGAGCTGCTCTTTTGGCCTCTGCCAAAGTAGAAAAATGAGAAAGCGATGAAATGTCAGGGACCTCAGCGCCGTTCTGAACACAGTCACATAAAATGAGAACAAGGCATATGGCTGGCTGCCTGTCTGGGGCCAGCAGAAGCAGGGAGAGCACTTAGAAATCTAACAGAGGACATATTCAACAGTAAGGGTGTTCTGAGTACTTTTCACAAGAAAGCTAAAACATAAAAGTTGCTCCTCAGGATGAATTCTATGTTGGGAAAGAATTATTGCTAAAATGGCTAAATACCCCTGTCCACCCTCCAAAAAGAAAAAGACCCACAAAAAAGCAAAATACCAACCAACAAAACCCCAGCAAGCCAAAACACTAAAGTAAAAAATATGTATGATTTTATAATTTGTGATATGCTAAGGAGCAGGAACTACAGGTGACTTCCCTTCCTCCATCCATTTCCTGTTAGTTATACAATTTTGTTTGTGTGTAAAATTGGAAATCACAGGGCAGCTGAACCTATCAGAAGAGAATATCTGTGTTATTCTGCACATGCCTGGAATAGGGTCTGAGGTCCAAATGGCACTTGTCACGCAGTATACACCCAAAAGTAATTGAACCAACTGCTATATCTCTTTTGCACTAATTGTTTTCTCTTCTGAGGTAAAAGAACATTTCCTGGTAACTCTGAGTTTGCTTATGAGAAACAGTTTCATGACTATGATAAAGAATGAAATGTGTGGGGATCTGATCTACTCTAATAGCTTAGGAGCCTTGTGTTCTTTAAAAAAAACCCCACTTTTATTGTAAAATAAAGAATACTATAAATCATATATATAACTTCAGTTTTCACAAGGAGGCTATACCTTTACAGCCTCCACCTGGGTCAACAGATCTTCTGTACCCATCACAAAGCTTCTCCATGAGCATCTTCCAAATTACAACCCTCCCTCTGCCCCAAACTTTCTGGACTTCATTACAGGTTTATAACCCAAGTGTGCATCCCAAGACACCAGAGTTGTCCATTTGTACATTCACATTTTACTCAATGACTTTAGTACAGAGTTGGGGCTCCATCACCACAATCCAATTAAAAAAATTCTATCACCCCGAAAAGACCCCTTGTACCCATTTACAGTTAGTTCACATTCCCTCCCTTCTCCCAGCCCCTGGAAATCACTATTCTGCTTTCTTTCGCTATAGATTTGTATATTATGGGCATTTCAAAGAAACAGAACCAAGTAATATGTAGTCTTGTATCTCATTTCTTAGCCAAATATTTTTGAGGTTAGTCTTTCTCATTTAAAATATTTTGGTATCTTTTTTGTTTGTTTTCTGTTGTTAATCCTCACCAAAGATATATTTCCATTGATTTTTAGAGTGGAAGGGAGGGGGAGAGACAGAGAGAAACATCAATGGTTGCCTCCTGCACACACTCCAACCAGGGCCGGGGATCGAGCCTGCAACCGAGATATGTGCCCTCAATCAGAATCAAACCTGGTAGCCTTCAGTCCTCGGGAAAATGCTCTATCCACTGAGCCAAACCGGCTAGGGCTATTTTGGTATCTTTTTAATCTAGAGATTCCTCTTCCATCCTTTCCCTTCCTTAAATGTTGTCTTGAAGAAACTGGGGGCATCTGATCTGTAGAGGTTCCTCAAATCTGGGATTTTGTTAATTGAATAGTCAGGACGCAGTCCAACATGTTCTTTTGAAATTCTGCAGGTTAGCAAGTTCATACAGAGGCTTGATCTGATTCAGGTTGATCCCTTCCTCATGATTATAGGAGGTGCTGTCTTCCCTCATTAGATGGCACGTAATATGTGCCTCATGTGTTGCAATGTCAGCAGCTGTTGATGCTCAATGCCTAGATTCATTAATTTTCCAGATGTTTCAAAAAGGTAACACACTTAATTTTAACATTTCCTTTTTATTAACTAGAATATAGTTATAAAGAGAGGCTTCCCCTCATCTACTACTATTTGGTTACCCAGGAGAAAAACAAAACAAATGTTGGATACTTTCACTTTATTTACCACTTTTCTTTTTTTTTTTAATTAAATCTTTATTGTTCAGATTACATTTGTTCCTCTTTTTCCCCCCCATAACTCCCCTCCTCCCAGTTCCCGCCCCACCCTCCGCCCTCACTCCCCACCCACTGTCCTCATCCATAGGTGCACGATTTTTGTCCAGTCTCTTCCCGCATCTCCCACACCCCTTTCCCCCCCAAGAAGTCAGTCCATTCCCTTTCTATGTCCCTGATTCTATTATGATCACCAGATTATTTATTCACTTGATTCTTAGATTCACTTGTTGATAGATCATGTTTGTTGTTCATAATTTGTATCTTTACCTTTTTCTTCTTCTTCCTCTTCTTAAAGGATACCTTTCAGCATTTCATATAATACTGGTTTGGTGGTGATGAACTCCTTTAGCTTTTCCTTATCTGTGAAGCTCTTTATCTGACCTTCAGTTCTGAATGATAGCTTTGCTGGATAAAGTAATCTTGGTTGTAGGTTCTTGGTATTCATCACTTTGAGTATTTCTTGCCATTCCTTTCTGGCCTGCAATGTTTCTGTTGAGAAATCCGCTGACAGTCGTATGGGTATTCCCTTGTAGGTAACTGAGTTTCTTTCTCTTGCTGCTTTTAAGATTCTCTCTTTGTCTTTTGCTCTTGGCATTTTAATTATGATGTGTCTTGGTGTGGTCCTCTTTGGATTCCTTTTGTTTGGGGTTCTCTGCGCTTCCTGGACCTGTAAGTCTATTTCTCTCACCAGGTGGGGGAAGTTTTCTGTCATTATTTCTTCAAATAGGTTTTCAATATCTTGCTCTCTCTCATCTTCTGGCACCCCTATAATTCTGCTGTTGGTACGCTTGAAGCTGTCCCAGAGGCTCCTTACACTATCTTCGTATTTTCGGATTCTTTTTTCATTTTGCTTTTCTGGTTGGGTGTTTTTTGCTTCTTCGCATTTCAAATCTTTGCCTTGATTCTTGCGCTCCTCTGGTCTGCTGTTGGGAGTCTGTATAGTATTCGTTATTTCAGTCCGTGTGTGCTTAATTTCTAGTTGGTTCTTTATCATAACATCGAGGGTCTCATTAGATTTCTTGAGGATCTCACTACATTTATCGGCGACTTCTAGACAGTTCTTAAGAGACCTTAAAAGTGTGGTTCTGAACTCAATATCCTCCATTGACAGTTTTGTCCTGTTTCTTTGTCTCCGCACTTTTTATGCTTTCTTGGTGCACCCCCTAGTGGTCTTTTTGCCCGGTCTTGTTGTAGTTAAGCCTTGATTGTTGTCGGCAATACCGGGGGTGATTTGACCTCCAGGCTAACTGGCTGTGAGAGTCCGCTGTGTCTGCAGTGAGAGAGCTTCTGTGCTGAATCTCTAGGGCGGTGCTAATCTAGCGTTTGCCTGAGGCTATCCAGCAAATGGCTCTGTGCAGGGCTTGGGCGGGGCGGGTCCCTGGGGTTCTACAGGGCGGGCTAGAGGGAGCAGTTATGGCTGCTCTCAGATCCGTCCCTAGGGGCTCTGCCTCACAGAGTCCCAGCAACCACTGCAATCCTCGGAGAGAAAGCTGCCTTCGAGTTCCGACCAAAGCCAGACAGTCCCACTTCTCCCATTTGAGTCTGGGTCCCTAGAGACTCGCCCGGATCTGGAGCTCAGAGTCTGAAACTCCCTCCCGATTGAAAACAACAACCGTGCCCATCGCCTCCAGCCCGCTCCACGTGCACTCCGCACCTTAGTATTTCACTTCAGCACTGCGCCTCCTCTGAGTCTGGGTATGATATTCTCTTTCCTCCTAGTTGTAGAATTTCCACTCAGGCAGCCTTCCTGTGGTTCTGGATGATGTCCGTTCCGTCGTTTAGTTGTTTTTTGGAGTGGTTGTTCGAGGCAGCAATCTCCGGCGTTAACCTATGCCGCCATCTTGGTTTCTCCTATTTACCACTTTTCAAGATAATTGGTTACTTATCATCCTCTGAAATTGAACAGTTTTGGGTGTTTTTTAAAAAATATATTTTATTGATTTTTTTAGAGAGGAAGGGAGAGGGATAGAGAATTAGAAGCATCGATGAGAGAGCAACATAGATCAGCTGCCTCCTGCACACTCCCTACTGGGGATGTGCACGCAACCAAGGTATATGCCCTTGACCAGAATCAAACCTGGCACCCTTGAGTCTGCAGGCTGACCCACTGAGCCAAACCAGTTAGGGCGAACTATGTTTTTGTTTTAAAGTACTATTATGAACTCATGGATTTAAACATATTTGATGGGTTTCAACCAATTGCAATGATTTCTAAAAAATCTTAAACAAAATCTTAAATTTTAGAATAGTTTTAGATTTATAGGAGGGAAGATAGTACAGAGAGTTCTTATACATTTATACTCAACTAGAGGCCTGGTGCATGAATTCTTGCACTGGTGGGGTCTGGCGGGGGGGGGGGGGTTGGCCAGCTGGTCCTGCCCCTTATCTGGGTTGGGGGGGCTGATCGGGGGCCGGGTTGGCTGGGGGGAGGGGCCACGGGAGGTTGGGGGGGCCGATCGGGGCCCCAATCAGGCCAGTTGGCTGCTGCAGGGTACATCATAGCAACTGGTCACCTAGCTTTTATATATCTAGATGGTTTTTGACACAACTAGTGAACCAATAATGATATAATATTATCTACTAAAGTCCATACTTTATTCAGACTTCCTTGGGTTTTCTTATGCTGGTAAATTTTTGTATTGAATTTATTGGTGTGACACTGGTTAACAAAACCATACAGGTTTAGCCGTAGCTGGTTTGGCTTAGTGGGTAGAGCAGACTGAAGGGTCCCTGGTTTTATTCTGGTCAGGGGCATATGCCCGGGTTATGGCCTCAATCCCCATTAGGGGGCATGCAGGAGGCAGCCGATCAATGATTCTCTTTCATCATGGATGTTTCTTTTTTTTTTTTTTTATTAAATCTTTATTGTTCAGATTATTACATTTGTTCCTCTTTTTTCCCCCATAACTCCCCTCCTCCCAGTTCCCACCCCACCCTCCGCCCTC